TTCTCCAGCACTTGCTACAGTCTGTCTTTGATTATAGCCACTCTAGTGGGTGTGAAGTGGTATCTCACTGCGGTTTTGATTTGCATTTCCCTGATGGCTACTGAAGTGGAGCATCTTTTCCTGTGCTAACTGGCCATTCGTCTCTCTCTTTTGGAGAAATGTCTATTCAAATCCTTTGCCCATTTTTTAAAAGTATAATTTCCATTTTATTTTTTTATTTGTTTTTCAGAGATCTTTCCTTTCGTCTTTACATGGGCTTTGGTGGAGGTGGTGGGGCAGCACCCGCAGGTCTAAGTCAGAGTGGGGGTGTTCGGTCCTTGCGGGCTTCCCAAGAATGATTCCTTGCTGTGAGGGGCACGGCTCACACAGTAATGTGCTTTCGCTCACAGGGGCACCTCGGTTTTCGAATGTGATCCGTCCGAGAGAACGTTCGAGTTCTGAAACGTTCGAAAACCGAGGGGTCCACAGCCGACGGCGAGGCCTCAGGATCTTGCCCGCAGCGGAAGCCCTGGGGCACGTTCGACTTCCGAGGCCTGTTCGAAAACCGAAATGTTCGTCAACGGAGACGTTCGAGGACCGAGGTACCGCTGTATAGCTTGGGAAGTACATAGGCGTCGAAGACACTCACTTCAGAAATGTCCCTAATGACGGTGGCCTCTACTATGTTTCAAATGACAAACTTCTTCTTGTTGTTGTTTTGTTAATCTTCACCTGAGGATATTTTTTTCCATTGATTTTTCAGAGAGAGCGGAAGAGACGTGTGGTGAGGGGGAGAGAGAGAGAGAAACATCGATGTGAGAGAGACACATGGACTGGTTGCCTCCCGCATGCGCCCCGTCCAGAGGGTGGGGAGCGCACTGGAAACCTAGGTAAGTGCCCTTGACCTGAATCGAACGGAGACCCTTCAGTCCGTGGGGCGACACTCTAACCGCTGAGCCAAACCAGCCAGGGCTCAGCGATAAACTTCTTAAGGGCCTTGTCCTTGGGCCCACATCAGGCGCAGCTGGTGCAGCTAATAGGCTGCACATGGCTGAGGGCCTTTTTTTTTTTGGCACAACCATTGTTCCTTGGTCATCTTGGAAGCAAGGATCCAAGAGGGGCTCCTTTGCCCATTTTTGAACTGGGTTGTTTGTCCCTTGATAAGTCGTACCACTGCCTTCTACAGAGTGGAAACTGAGGCTCAGAAAGAGAATGTGACTGAATCAAGACCACTGGGCTCACAGTGGATCGGTCCCCGCCTCCTACCCAGCAGGTCTGGGGCCACTGTCTCTCCACCCAGTGGACCAGTGAAGCTGCCTGCGATCTGATCCGTCCCCCAGGCCACCCCAGGTCCTGTCCTTGCAGAGGGTGGGCCAGGAAGCCAAGAAGCTGCAGTTCTGAGGAACCGAGCCGGCCCTCTCTTCCCCTCCAAATCACGCGGAACTGGCTGACGTGGCCCCGGGAAGAGGGGACAGCCCGGGTCCTGTGGTCGGGGAGCCTATTTATACTGGCTGGGCCGTGTTGCAAGCTTTTCCTGCTGGCGACAGGGACGTCACTGGGTGCTGACCTCACCAGAAACGCTGACGCATCTTCCCTTCACGCTTCGCTCAAATGGGCAGCCAGACCTCCTTACCTTGGGGCGACTCCGTGTCCTCCTGCCCATCACTGCCCCCTCCCACCTAGCTCTGGAGTCTCTTCCAGGGTCCCTATTGCCCATAGCCCTCCAAACACACCCTCTTCTTGTAAGCTGTTATGGGGCTCCTAAGTCCAAATCCCTAGTACCTCAGAATAGGAATGTATTTGGAGATGGGGCCTTTAAAGAGGTGATTGAGGTAAAATGAGGTCACTGGGTGGGCCTAATCCAATATGACTGGTGTCCTTATAAGAAGAGAAGAGTAGGACACACACACACATAGACCGAGGGAGGACCACGTGAGGAGACAACGAGAGGCAGCCGTCCACAAATCAAGGAGCTAGGCTGCAGATGAAATCGGCCTTGCTGACACCTTGACCTCGGGCTTCTAGCTCCAGGACCGTGAGGAAATACATCCCTATATTATAAGCCACCCAGTCTGTGGTATTTGGTGTGATATCCCGAGCAAAGCAACATATAAGCCTTTCTTGCCTTTGGTAGCCCTGGTCCCTGGGGCCTGCACGGACACCTCAGTGAGCCACATGCTCAGAGCGTGGTCTTTCAGCTCTGACGGCCCTGGTTTGAATGCCCCACTCCTCTTAAATGTCACCACACGTAGTGACCTCAGGCGGAGTGACTTCATGTCTCTAGGCCTCAGAGGCCTCTTTAAACCCTGGAGACAACTGGCTTCCCTGGACCGTCGGGAGGGGAGAGTGAGGTAAAGCACATGCTGTCCCCCAAGGATGGAGATTGGTCAGCAGGAGCTGAGAGAGGCCAGAAGCTCCCCAGTCAGACCTGGCCCTGGAGCCAGGCCCTGAGCTTCTCTGAATTTCAGTTTCCTCATTAAAGGGAGCAAACACACCCCTGTCGGCCGCTCCCCCTCATGGGGCTATTGCAAAATGAGATCAGGGATGTAAAATGAAGAAGGACCCCAGCTTGGCATGGGCACAGGAAGCAGCCTTGCGGGGGTGGGCACAGAAATGAAGAATTTAGCGGAAGCAACATTCTCAGGAGGAGAATCCAGAACTGGCCCTTGGGGGTGGCGATGGTGGCGTGATTGGGTATGGTGGGGTGATTGGGCATGGCACAGTGAGCACCACGCTGGGGTGCCAGGGAGTGGGTGGGGACTGCGGAGCCGCCTCCTGGGCATGAGAGTGCGTCTGATTTTGCCCACTGCTGGAACCTCAGCCCCTGGGAGTGGCTGGCATGGAGCAGGGGCAAAATTTGTTGAATGAATTAGGGATTCATTCAAGGGATGATGTTTGTTCATCTTGACAGAGGGGAGAGCAGGTGGCAACAGCTTTGGTGGTCATGATGGGTGCCAAGGGTGGAGATGGGCAGGAGAGCATCCACCCTGGCCCCCTTGGCTTTCCTCGCCCAGGCTCCAGAGGCCCAGCTGGAGCAGCTCAGGCGGCCCTGGCAGCCCCCACAAGCCCCACCTGGCTCCTCAGCCTTCTGACACCCTCCTTCCTACCAGACTCCTGAGGGCTCAGACCAGTGACTTTCTTCCAGACCTGGTAAATGTGTTGGGACCACCAGGCATGGCTTATAGGCCTGGGCCAGCCCCTCTGCCTCCTTATTTGCCCTCACCTGGGCCTTAGTTTACCCCATGGTGAAGTAGCTGGTTGACTAGGGAGACATTGTCTCCAGGGCCCCTTCATTCTGACATTCAGAGCTCTGTGAGACACACAGGACCAACCCATGATCACTATCTTTCAGAGAAAGTGAAACCTGGTCCCCAACCGTCACCACAGCGACTCCCCCTCCCCGGTTTCCCCTCTGAGCTCATTGCTTCCCCATCTCCTCCGCTCCCCAACTCACAATGCCCCCCCGCACCCTACCCAGCTAGTACAGTACTTGGAATTAGACTTTCATCTTTCCTTTTTCCTTCAAAGAACTTTTGCCTTTTATGTCCATGACTGCAGCAGCCTTGCGAGGTGGGCTGGGAAATGCTTTTCAAATCCTCATTTTACAGGTGGGGCCTTTGAGGCCCAGAGAAGTTAAGCAACTTGCCTCAGGTCACATAGCCTGTCAGTGGGCTTGAACCCTTATCTCCTGTTTCCCTTGTTCCAAGTGCCTGGTTCTCCCCAGAGGACCTGTCTGTAGAGAAAGGGCCTGGCCGCAGGCCTGGGCTGCTCGTGTGGAAGGTGCACGGTAGGGTGAGGAGACGGCCAGGAGCCCTGCTGGGGGATGCGGGTCCTGGGGCCAGAACCACAATCTCAGGGCTGCCAGCCTGGGTCTGGCTCCGTGCCCAGAGCCCAGTGGTTTCCGCTCACAGATGTCCCAACAGCCCCAAGAGAGGGCGGGAAGGGCACCCAAGAAGGAAGGTGTCTTGCTCCCCTCAGCCCCAAACCACAGTGGCCTGTGAGACCAATGGCTCCTGGGCCAAGACTGACCTGTGGGCCTGGCTGGCAGACCTTCCCCTCTATCCCCAGCTCAGCGCCCTGCAGGTGGCACGGACCCCCCTGTTCCTTGTTCACCCCAGGAAGGCTGAGGCTGCAGTTTGCATCACCCTTGGGCGTGGAGCTGACCTCGAAGAACGAATTCGAAGAAACTAGGAGGAGGAGCGGGCAGGCTGCTGCGCCCAGCGCCCATTGGTCGCCCGTGGAAACTTTGGTTTTTGGGGTCATGTTCCCAGAAGGCCTGCCC